AAATATTTTATAATTATTAGTATTTTTATTTTATTTTCTTGATAATTTTATTGGGTTGAAATATTTTTGTTAGATAGCAGCTTAATATTTAATTTGTTACATTAAATTTGGAAATCTGTATACAATTGTTTTTTTATAGATCTAAAATATTATTATTTTCTAATGTGTTTAATTAGGAAATTAATTATTTAGAATATAATTGTATTAAATATATTTAATTATGCTTATAATTTAATAAACGATTTAAATATTGTGTCCATTTTAAACTGGTCTTTTTATAATATGTAAATGATTTTATTTTGGAATACGATTTTTTTATCAACTTTTATATGGATTATACTTTTCGAAGTCTATGATTATTACTTTCTTAGAAGAACAAATATATATTTAGCACTATAGCCGAAAAATATGATTCTTCTATGATTGTAATGTCATTTTCTTCAATCAGTAACTCAACATTTGACTTTATTGGAGTATCTGTACAACGCGGCATGGCATTAAAATTGCCTTCCGGGATACCGATTCTGCGATAATAGCCAGATGAAGAGTTTGGTCTATTGAAAATTTAAAAAAATTTGGGTTGCTCGAAAGTTGGGCGCCATATATGTGACACTAGTTTTAAGCGGATTTGGTATGCAGGTCTTAGGCTGCGGCTTAGCTCGCCGGAAATGGGTGGATTCTTTCCGCTTTAAATGTCAATATAAAATTTATACCTGTTTTTGAATTCAAACGAAATTTACTGAGTTAAATAAATGAGAAGTTAAATTTAAATATATCAATCGGATGTATTCCAAAATATTGTACCCTTATGCCATAGTTTAAATTGAACACTATATAGATTTCCACTTTAACGAGGTTTAGATGTTACACCTCAATGGCTTTTCCCTCCCCTTATGACATGTTTCAGTCAGCCATGGTATTTTCATGCCATTAATTTTTGAAAATACCCCAAACACAATCAAATCAGCCGCTATCTAATTAATTTTCAACCCATTTTTAATTTAGAAATCAACACATTTTGCTAAATATTAACAAGTTTCAAAAATGCATCATATAAATAATATTCATTTTTAATTTCGTTTTTTTATTAATTCAATTTAAATTTAGTTATTTTTCTTTTAAACAAATTTATTTAAATTTATAGAATTTTTAAATATTTTACACAATATTTTAATAGTATTTTTTCTTATTGTTTGTGATTAGAGTATAATTTTTATAATATATAATATGTCTTTTTTAACTTTTTATAGCATGCACTTATTTTTATGTTTTCTTACATTATTTTATTTATTATATATTATATATACAATTTCTTTTATTTATCTGTTTTTATATTTATATGTATTTTTAAATTAGCATTATTGATTAATATTTACTTTAGGTATCTTATTTTAATTTTTCATATTTTTTTCTTTTAAAAATTAATTTTAGATTATATTAACGTATATCATTGAATTTTTATATGCAAATTATATATTTTTATTTTTTAATTATTTTAAATCATATTTAATTATTGTAGGATATTTTCGTGAATACCCCTAATACGATATAATTGTAATGCAATTACCAACGCCTTAAAATATTCTTTACAAAAATCAAAATGGTTATGTAATTATTGTGAATGATGTAACCAATTTAATCACGTGGATCAATAGATTATGGCTCTTTATGGCAACTTTTGGGTTTGAGGTTATAGCAAGTTTTTTTGGGTTTTGGTACTCACTCAAATTTTGCTTCTATTTTCCAAACCTGAGGATTTTAATGTTTTGTGGGGTTTTGTTTTGTGGGGTTTCTTTTAGGCTCATTTTGTTATTATATTTCACCATAGAAATATGTTCGTGCTATGTGGTGTATCCGCCTTTATTTCACAGCTTATATTTGCTGATTGCCGCGGTTAAAAAAATCAGCAAATAGTTTAGCTGTGGTATTTTTGGTTTACCACTATATTCTATGGAATATAATAAAAATTTTTTCATATTTATAGAAAATGGATTTTTAAAAAAAATATGTTTCAATAAAAGGTTCTCACCCGAATATCTTGTTCAGTCGATTTTTTTTTTATCTTAAAATTTTGTTAACCAACAAAATTATCCGGAAATTATTAATTATCGATTTTAAAAATATATAACTGTATATTTTTTTTTTACAATTTTATCGTGATTTTCTATTTTTTTTTAATGATAAAATTTCACCACTTGACTTGCTTGACTTTTGGTGACCTCTCGTATTCAATGTGACAAACTGATTGTTCACTGTGATTCTTTTTAAGGTTAGCCTCACACGTTGGAGTTTCATACCAGTGATGAAAAATCGGATTTTTCCAACTATGGTGGATCCTACATTTTTTTAATGTTTGGCGATCCATATAGAGGGATCTTACAAATTTTTAATGTTCGGCGGCAATTGTAGGGGGCGGTGATGTCATTTGATTGTTTAATAACTTAATTATTTTTTTTTTTGGTTAATAATATTATTTTTAATATTATTAATCAATATTACAATAATTGTTATTATTATTTTATAATCATAAAAATGATAAAAATCATTTTAATATATTTGTTTGGATATGATGCGATTTGTTGTTCAATATCGACATATCCAACATTTTGTACTGCCGATCGTACAACATTTCACCTGGGAACAGTTTGGTGTAGTAACGCCATCAAAAGCAAAAAGGTCAGTTTTCGATCTAAGAATCCCTATAGATCTTTTGTTTACCTTTTTTTATTGGATTGGTGAATCGGTGAATAATATTATTGTAAAAATAATAATATTATTGTAAAAAAATTATAAAAAGAGAGAGATGGGGTACAACAAATGTAACTGCTGCCTGGTTTGGTGCCAATATTTCACATAGAGGTATATATTTCCCATCGAGAATACTTTGGAGGTGATTATATTTGTTTGGTGTTTTCAGTTGGTTGCTGCTGGTGGCATATGTTCATTCACAATGAATGATGGAAAAATGGTAAGTGCTTATCAAAAATAATTAATAACAATTTGGATAAATGTTTTCTTTTTTTTTTCTTTCAGGATTAAAATACATGACGAGGAAAATATGAAGCAGCCAAATGACTGAAACAATAACAAAAAAAATATCCTCTTCTTCGGGATGCGATGTCGGTGTTGGCGGTATCATTACACATAGATGTGGTGACGGGTGAAATATGAATATGAAAAACTATTCATATATAATAAATAACATATTATGTGTGATGTCCCACAAAATACGTTTGGTTGGATTTATGAGACAAAGTATGGCCTAAGGTATTCATACACAACCAGAGGGTGGTTGTCACACATATCGCATTTGATCATGTTTAAATGTTGAATTTTTGACTAAATCCACATAAAATATCGACAATTATATGTTATTTAGTTTGACCCATGGTATAATTATTACAACGTAGGACACAGCTAACAACTGATTACAATCTGATGTCAAGCTAGCTAATTCCATCAAATTAAAATACATATTTTGTGTATGTGTGTGTATTGTTTTCAATACTATGTAAAATAAATTCAAAATAAATTGAAATATATTAAAATTTAATTGAAATTAAAAGGATTGTATAAGGCTTCCCTCTGGAATTAATTAGTTTGGTATGGATGAAACAAATATTTTATGGTATTCCCTACAGAATTTTGGAAAGAAATCATAACCTTTCAGCCTAACCTAACCTTTCACCAAGCCTTCGGTTTGGTGTTTTACTCGTTGGTAAAATTTGCGGACCTTATTCTGACTTCTGTACATCTCACGTTTTTCTTGTTCTATATTCTTTTTCTGAAAACACGTTTCTCCTCTTTCCTTTTCTCCCGATAATTCTCCATCACATTCCATATACGCTGCGTTTTTCACATCAGTAGCATTACGACACTCCTGATCGTATCATGGATTTATTGGTGGTGGTTTTTGTTACCCAAGTGTTGCTTTTGCTGCATTTGTAGGGAGTGGGCAATTCTTTGTCATTGTGCTTCTATACTAGTATCGGGACAAGAAGTGCTTTTGTCAAGCAGACGGGTAAGTTGACCGGAGTAGGCCTCGACTACCTGTTGTGTTTGCAGCTTTTCGACGTCGAGTTTCCGTGTTGTGTTAGATCGCACCCATACTGCAACATTAAGACGAGTGCGAACCTTGGCTGCTACAAGGTAGTGGTCCGAATCGATATTCGCTCCTCGGATCGATCGAACGTCTAATACACTGGGTGAAAGCCTTCCGTCTATCACAATATGATTAATTTGATTTATCGTTTCTTGATCAGAAGAAATCCATGTGTTCTTGTATATATCGAGATGCTTGAATCTGGTGCTGCTAACTACAATTTTTTTTTGCTGCCGCGAAGTCAATCAACCTCATGCTGTTGTCGGATGTTTCTTCATGAAGACTGAATTTTCCGACGGTGGGGTCAAAGACATTTTCCCTTCCGATTTTTGCATTGGAAATCTTTTTTAAGCTCGGCTTATGGAACAACCGTTATGTAACAAGCCAGCTAAGTAAGTAAGATATTCATCTGCTTATGAAAATTATCCTTTGCTATCATTAGGAAACACCAAATCACGTTTTTCTGACATATTTGAATTTGTCTTCTACGAATAGTTTTTAATTGCAAAATGCCCTGTTCCTATTTCTCATCTAATCTTTTGAGCAGACTAATTGACGTGTACTAAGAAGAAAATAAACTTTTTAATAACTTCTGTAAACGTGCTGTTAGTAACTGTACAATGAGAACATCCCTTATACTTCTCTCTCACACTCTGACAGTAATCTCACAAACGAACGCCATCTACAAAGCTGCTGTCAACAAACAATTAATAACTGTCGATTGACATAACCCTAAGTCTTTGTGTGTGTGCGAGAGAAGAGATACAGGCAATAAATAGAAAAATATAACATTTTTTTGCAAACAATATAAGTCGCAAATAGAAACAAGGAAAAATATTGGTGAAATAAAGACAATTTATTGCAATTGATAAGTAAATTAACAAAAAAGCCGAATACACAAACACTTGCATTTAACAATGTCCGATAATGAAAAGAATATTCCTGAAGGTTGGGAAGTACGCACAAGTCGTTCTACCGGTAAGTGTACGGAAAGAAAAAAAATAACCCTCATGAGTTTTTTTTCGCGTGAGTGGTGCAGCTTGCTTGCTGCTGCACAACCCTTTTGCATTGGGACATTTGGTGGAAATGTATTTTGTTGATGATTTTTTTGGAAAATATATTTTTAAATGGCTGTAATGGAATTTGAAATTTAATAAGGGACTCCACTCGGATCGCTTAAAGTGAAAACACGAGAATTCATGCCCGGCATGCTATGTTTATGTTTTTTAGGGAAAGTATTCGTTATAAGTTTTAAAATGAGTTTCAAAATGCCGTTTTAACCAAGATTTGTTCCGAAAATTCAAGGTCCATATCTCGGGAATTATGCTTTTCCCACAAATAAAATATACATCACTGTAATCAGCTCAACGAGGACTACTTACGGTTTCAAAGCGATCCGAGTGGAGCCCCTAAACTTGACTTAAGCGGAAACAAATAATCGAAGCCTGACAGTCATCCTTTGTCAACATTAGTGGAATGAGAGGTCCAAACATTGTCACTGCCTCCTCTAATTTGTCCTCATCCATTTCCTTAACATATTCCAACATAATGGCATGTACCTATAAATTATCCACCAATTGTTTATTGGAAACATGTTCCAAATTTGCCTTGACATGATCCAAAATCGTATTCGATACACTGTGGTAAACACTTTGTCTCCTCCTCCCAGATTTATATTTTTATTTAGAGCATCATTTTACTTCTTAAAATTGCTAATCATTCCATCCTCGATTTCAGGCCTAACATACTACCTAAACATTTACACCAAGGAATCACAATGGGATTTACCAACGGAACCGGCCAAAAAAGAAGTATCTTCCAGTGGACCCAGCGAGGTGCGTTGCTCCCATTTGTTGGTCAAGCACAAGGGCAGTCGTCGCCCATCGTCGTGGCGTGAAGAGAATATTACACGCACCAAAGAAGAGGCCCGTCAACTGCTCGAGGATTATCGCAAACAAATCGAAAATGGTTCTGCCACTCTGGATGAATTGGCTCAAAAATACTCCGATTGTAGTTCAGCCAAACGTGGTGGTGATTTGGGTATGTTTGGCCGTGGCCAAATGCAAAAACCCTTCGAAGAGGCTGCATTTAGCTTGAAGGTGGGACAATTATCGAAAATTGTCGATACAGATTCGGGTTTGCATATTATTTTACGCACAGAATAGATTTAAGAGAAAGAAAATTACAATTTAGAAGCCAAAAGCAGCAGCATATTGAATTATGCCAACAACATGTGTGTGTGAGAGACAAACCAAAACAACTCCTAATTTTTTGCATTTTAATTTGTTTTATTTTTGAAAAAGAAACATATTAAAACTAAAAGAAAACTAACTACTTATATAAAGGGAAAACACACAAGTTTTCCAATCATGAAAAAATACACTTTTGTTAAATAAAGAAATACGTTTCTTAATTTTTTGTATGTATTATTATTTTTTTTAGTAGTAGTAACATAAACTTGGAATTTTTAAAACTAATAAAAAAAACTTTATTTAATTACAAAAATATACGTTTTTTTAAATATTGTATTAAAGATCTAGAAATTAATTCAATTTTTTCCATAGCAACTGGGCACCATTGAATTTTTGTTTTTTCAATGCAGCCATGTGGGGTTTCAGCAAAGTTTTCATTTGTTTTTGTACATCGGTGGAATTGTTTTCGAAAATATTCAGCAAAATGAAACAGGCACGATTTATATTTAACCACGCCTTGAGTGTGTCTTCGTTAAGTTCTTGTATCAGCAGACTGCCGAATGTGGCTGCCTCGGCATTTGCTGCCAAACGTTCCTTGTCATTTTTAATGATTTTCTTGAGCACAATATGGAGACCGGCTTCCTCAATACCCAATACATTAACTGTGGCAGTTGGCTGGAAGGAAAACAAGAAGAAAATACATTCGGTTAAAAAATGTGTGTTTGAGAAAAATCCAGGTTTGTCCAATCCATAGGATAACTTTTTGGTTCTAAGGCTTATAAAGGCCAGCTAAGACAAGAATTCAAGCCGTCCGATAGTCATCCTCACTTATTACGTCCATTTCTACATATAGTTTCGTCCGATTTTATGTGAATGATGCACCAAACTCCCAATATTTGTCCGATTGGGACAAAATATTGCGAAGTTTTGTCAAAATCGGTTCAAATTTAGATATAGCTCCCTTATATAGTTCCGTCCGATTTTTTGTGAATGCTGCACCAAACTCCCAATATTTGTCCGATTGAGACATAATTTTGCACAGAGTACTGAGGTGGGTCCAGATTGATATCTTAGAAGTTTTGTTAAAATCGGTTCAGATTTAGATATAGCTCCCATATATAGTTTCGTCCTTCTTTTTTTATTTTGTAAATGATGCACCAAACTCCCAATATTTGTCCGATTGGGACAAAATTCTGCGCAGAGTACTGAATTTGGTCCAGACTCATATCTGCGAAGTATTGTTAAAATCGGTTCAAATTTAGATATAGCTCCTATATATAGTTCCATCCGATTTTTTGTGAATGCTGCACCAAACTCCCAATATTTGTCCGATTGAGACATAATATTGCACAGAGTACTGAGGTGTGTCCAGATTTATGTCTTCGAAGTTTTGTTAAAATCGGTTCAGATTTAGATATAGCTCCCATATATAGTTTCGGTCGTTTTTTTTGTAAATGATGCACCAAACTCCCAATATTTATCCGATTGGGACAAAATTCTGCGCAGAGTACTGAATTTGGTCCAGACTCATGTCTGCGAAGTTTTGTTAAAAAAAATTCCGAATCTTGCCATCTTCTGAAAACGTAATCAATATTGGCGTCCGAAATCTTGCCATCTTCTGAAAACGTAATCGATATTGGCGATCGAGATCTGATGACTATGTCGTTTGGGGCCAAATGAAAAAATAGCCCAGCGTCGATTCAAGACCGTAAACGTAGTGTTCGTTAGGCTATCGAGGTCTTTCACTTTGAGGACAGCTGCTGCTGGTGGTCATTTGACGTCCATTATTTTGGGAATGCATTAGTGTTTAATTTGTAAAAACCATTCAATCAATTATCTTCAACATTTAAATTTTTCTTGGAGTACAACAACACCTCATACTGAAAAATATGTTATGGTCGATATTCTGATCTAGGAGATCAATATGGAATCTTCTTCAATAGATCACCTTCTCTTCTATTAAGGAATACCATATTATATTGTATACAAGAAGACCTCCTGGAAGCAGGCCACCGTTTTTTCAAGCCTTGTATAAATCAGATATTCTGGTATTAGAGAAAGAAGGCATTAGGTCGTCGTCCATAGAAGTCCTCTTTTCTTTCTTTCTCTACAAAAGAGGTCTTCATTGTCGTGCTACAAAGTTAACCTTATTGTCTTCTTATACAAAAGTAGAAAAAACCTTCTGTGTTCTTTAGAGGAGGAAGTCTTTATAGGATTCTGCAGAATAAGACCCCATTGTATTCATCTACATAAAGTAATCCTTTTTTGTTTTCTTTTAAAAAAATACCTCTATAGAGATTACCACCATATCGTATAGAAAACCATCTCAGCCATTTTCTGCTACGGAAGGTCAGATTTTAACTATTTCTTCTATGAGAAAATTTACTGTTGTTTCCGTCGTAAGAAGAGTCCCTTCTTGGCATCCTCTAATAAGGGAGAGTATCTTTTTTAAGAGTAATGTATTCATCCACCCAAGATCAATATTTTCACTTCTTCCATGGGAAGAAGCCCTTCTTGGCTTCTTCTAATAAGGGGCAGTCTCTTTTTTAGAATAATGTATTCTTCTATCCAAGATGAATATTTTCACTTCTCCTATGGGAGCTTATTTTAAGACCTTCTTGTTTTCCTTTAATTGTACCTTATTTATATTCCCTGCTGGCACATACCTCTTCCTTCTCTTCCTCATCCGAATCATCATCAGCTCCCTTATCATCATCCTCGGCATTCTGGGCATCCCCATCCTCCTCTTTAGACTTTGCCGCCAATTTTTGAGCCTGCTTACGTTGTTTGGTTTTTTGTTTTGTTGCCTCGGCAATAATTTTTTCAACATCTTGGGGTTTCTTTTTCTGTTTCTCTTTTGTCGTTTCATCTTCTACGCTAACACTCCAATCGGGCTTGGCAATGACTTTGGTCAATGCCGAGGCGGCAGTTACAAAGTGATCACCCGTCACTAAAAGAAAAATATTTTGATATTGAATCTTCAAATAAATGTTTTGTACTACTCACACTTAATCAAAATCTCTGCAGTGACCAAACCGATATGTTTATCTGATAACCAAAATTCGGGATTTTCCCCAATGGCTGTGGCAATGGGTTCTTCAATTTGTTCGAAAATTTCTTTACGTCTGACATCCTTATCTTTCTTACCATATTGCAGACCCTCTTCAATGGTGGCAATAAATGTGGGATGGAAACAATTGGTGCCACCGGGCGATATAAGCCATTCAATGACACGGCGACCCCATTGGTTGGCCATGAGAGTTTGCAACTCAGGATGTATGGTATCATAGATTGCCTTTTTGGTTGCCTTGGTGTCATCCAAACTGTTCAGCAGAGCAATGGTAAACAAATGGCCATGTTCATGGGTACAAATTTTCACCAAGTGCTCCTTAATGGTCTTAATAATGGCCTGCAAAAGAATATGTAACATAAATACATTTAAATATTAGGAAAGCAATTAACAACACTCACTCTTCTATTCTTTGGTGTCGATTTATAGAAACAAATAATCGATGCCTGACAACCATCCTTTGTGGTCAACATTAGTGGAATGAGGGGACCAAACATTGTCACTGTCTCCTCCACTTTGTCCTCATCCATTTCCTTAACATATTCCAACATAATGGCATGTACCAATGAATTATCCACCAATTGTTTATTGGATACATGCTCCAAATTTGCCTTGACCGCACTCAAAATCGATGCCTTCATGGTGGGTGTATCTTTGTAACAATCTGCCAAGGTGTTAACTTTATCATCTTTACCCTTTTTATACAAATCACCATAGAATTCCTGACGCAAGTAGGCCTTCTGTTTAGCACTGGCCACACTCAAATAGACATGATCCAAAATCTTACTCGATACACTGTGGCAAGCCAATTTCACAACATGACCATAGAAGGCATCAACCAATTTACTCTTGGTCACTGGGGAACCATATTTGAACATACGCAGTACACAAAAGTGGGCATATTTCGAAATGGACATTTCCACAGCCAAGGGCATGAGGCGCTCCGACAGTTGTTCCCTTACCGAAGGTGAGGCAAACTTTAGCATACACTGTATAACACGAGCCGTGTCGTGAGCCATTACCACCTTCTTAATGGTATCGCCTGTATTAAATAGATTGTATAGTTTCTCAACTAATTCGGCTTTCTTTTCAGTCTTGCGGCATTTGAGTTTTTCATAGATCTGCTTAGCTTCAATGGAGATTTCATAGGTATCTTTGCCTTGTTTACGTTTCAATTTCAAGTCTTTCTTTTCCTGTTTGAATTTATTCCAATCTGTTTTCTCCGGCTTGGCATCTCCGCCACCAGCTCCTCCATCGCCCTCAGGTTTTCCAAATTTGGGTTTACCAGCAAATTTATTATTTGGATTTTTGGCAAATTTGTTATTGGGGTTACCGGCAAATTTATTTCCTGGTTTACCAGCAAATTTGTTACCAGGTTTGCCAGTAAATTTCCCTGGTGCTTTACCTTTATCTCCAGGTTTTCCAGCACCACCACTGGGTTTAGTTGGTTTACTGAACTTGGCTGTTTTCTTTTCCTTTGCATTATTATCTTTGTCTACCTTTGCGAATTTCTTCTTTTGTGGCTCTTCGCCAGCAATGGTTTTCTCTGCTTCGCGTTTTTTACCCTTAATCATTGTGAATTTGTATAGATTTTAATTCAGAAGTTTTAAATTTAAAATATCTCTTCAACTGGTCGCACGTGTTTTACCAGTACTGAGCAGAATGCAGCAAGTTTTGTTTTCATTTGAAATGTCAAAAAACAAAACAGAGTTGCCGCTACTGATGATTTGTGTGTGAATGGCAACTTTCTCTGAGAGAGAATGGTGGGTGGGATCACACTGGGAATTGACATTTGAGATCGAGTGGATTTCGTAAATCTAGACGAATAATTTAAAAACCCTAAAACTCAAATTAAAAATTTATATATATATATATATTTATAATATTCGTTATCTAAATTAAGTCCATTCGAGGAGATGTCAATTTATAAAAGATCAGAGACAAATTTGATTTCCATCAAAAACGGGTACATCTTTAAGCCAGGCTTCTCAAGAAAACAGGTATAGTTGTTCCCATGGTACAATAATACAAGGTAAGACGGATCCTCAAACTCGCCTGGGAGGACTCACCTTGCTTCAGAGGAGACACCAGGATCGCTACCGCGTTCCTCACCGTAGTGCTAATCATTGTAGTTTCCATGATGTCTTACTCGTCTGACATGGGTGAGTCATCCCAGAGTTGATTCGGGATGTTCTCCTGGCTAAGGCAGAAGGAGCCGGTTTCCTCTAATAAGTTGAGGAGAAGATTCATCTGCCTCTCCAAGCTTTCGTTAACGTCATCGAGAGTAACAGGACTTGAGGCAAAAGAGAGGTCCAGTGGATTTGCTTGGGTCGTCAACATTTGTGGGGGTTAATTGAAGTCTGACCTTCTAGCATCAGCATCAGTCGAAAACACCATGTTGTTTTTGTTTTTAGAAGTGGGTGTTATTAAAATTCGGCTCCATAGAAAGTGCTTTTAGTGAGGGATTGAGGTCAACCATGGCATAGCCTCTTACCATGGCAAGGACTTGGCAACGAAGCCTAAATAAACTTATTGTGGCGCCTAGGTGTCAACAAGGCTCCGTTCTAATACAGTCGGGACCCTAACTGCAAACCATAGAACTCTAACGAGGTCGCATGACACCCCAGCATTAGAGGGGTCACTTTAAGAGGTAGTAACTCAGACCTCTGAGATGGTTATTTAGGGGCGTCATTCTCGCCTCGTCAGCCCAGGGATCATAGGCACTCGGTCATTTCCTCCGAGACTCTCCCTCTGAGCCCGCTGATTGCAAGCGACTGTTTATTTGTTTTTCACAGTTATCCAATGAATAGTATTGGGCTTCCCGCTATCCGCAACATATGGACGGGTCCGTTAGCATTCAGATCTGCTCCACAAAGCCGAGATAATGAAGAAGTTATTGGGCGCCAAGGCTGTATGAAGTTTGGCGTTTGGGCTGGTAAAAAAGTTGCTGGATTAAGCTGATATATGATAGTTCGCATTGACATGTTGCGCATAGATTCGTACTTTCTTCTTCGTTTTTTTTTTTAATTTCTTCTAAGACTACTTCATGCAAAACAAATTGTAGCGTACTATTCAGAATTAATCTCCATTGATGTCCAATAGGGACAGTCAAGGCTGCACAGTGTATCACTACCTCTATTCGACATCTTGGTCGAACAAAAAGGCACTGTTCTGAGCCTTCTGTTTTTCGATGTTGGAATTTCTCCAAAGAAAAAATTGTGGAAAACTTAGAATTGACCAGTTTTTGTTGATCAAGCGTCGCAGTTGCTACATAACCTGTTTTTCCCCAAAGATGGATCTTCGAATAAAACCCATAATGTAACGATCTTATATACAGAATTTGAAGGACCGCGATATTTATTTGCACCATTCGACCCGAGTTATTTTTGAGCGATTAGTTCATGGCAACTGGCTACACTTACTATTTTCAATTTTCTGACACAACACAACGATTGATGGCAGCCCATCAATCGTTGTGTTACACTTACGTAAACGGATTACACAGAAGCCGCATAGTTTATCCGATCACTGTATAGGTTATCGACAAGAAATCTTTATAAGCTCCTGAACGGTTAGTGACTTGAGAGCCTTGTGCACCATTTATATGATTTAATTCAATTTTATTTCATAAACGAGAACCTAGCCAAAGGGCCATGAGCGATTCCAAAAACTTCATTACATGGACTACTCCAAATATGAAATCGTTGCACAAAATGTAAAAAAGCGAAAGCCAGACATATAGAACATTTGTTTAATAGTTTATACTACACCTTCAAAATATTTGTGCAGAATGACATGCCAAGCGTTTCTTCTGAGTTGCCATTCCACATTCTTTTCTTTTTATAAGAATGTTCCTATGGTCCAATCAATTGTAATAGAATAAACAGTGGTATATATGTAGCACCGTCTGAGCTTACTTAACATGAAATCGATAAAATAAAATAAAAATGTAGCCTACGTATCAAAATTGTTACTTAGTCCCCTTTTCCACAGGCACATTTTTATTTGGCAAATTCTGGGTTTGTAGGCGAGAGGGGTGCGAGGAAATAAAACAAAACTTTGCCTGTACGCGGTACACGCATATTCTGCTTTGTTCTGTTCGTTGAAAGCTGTGTGTTGTTTTACTGACACACATCTTTTGTTTAATGAAATTTAATTTTTAATTTTTGCAATTTATATGATAAAATATATAAAAAATTAATAAAATATTAAAAAATTCTTTAAAATGTAAACACTTTTGATGTTTCCTTCTTTCTTTTGTATTTTTATTCGCAAATTTGGCAAATAAAAATTTTCTAGTTGAAAAGCAAGCGAACATTTCAAAGGAGAAAACAAAAAATTTGCCAAATAACAATTTGCCTGTGGAAAAGGGGACTTATGTGTCACAATGATCACTCCTATTTTTAATTTTGTACCACGTTAAAGCGAAAACCAAACAAATGACACACTTGTTTAATAGTTTATACCACACTTCAATATAACTATCTACAGTGGCTTGTCAATCGCGAGTTGCCATTTCATTATACTACTCAACTTTATAAGGATGTTCACACAGTCCCATCAATTGTAATAGAATAGAAAGAGACAAAACTATATATACACAACTCAACAATCTTCTTCTTCATGTTTTGCTCTTTTTCGATTTAACGTCAATTTATTATTATACCGATTGTGATGACATTAAAGACGCCGACATAGAATTTATTTGGTGAAAAAGAAATTAATAAAATTAAACACTTTTAATACTTTATGTTGGTATTCGTTAGCAAAGCCAACAGATACGTTTGGCCGGGTCTATTTTAAAGGCGATAAATAATTAACTAAGTAACGCGTACTTGAGTTATCGTGTAAAGAAAACGGCGGCAAAAAACACAGAACAAACCCAACAATCTCCAAATAAATATTTTCGGTGTGTACATTTATACTTGAAGTGACTTGAGAGTGATAAGTCTTCGTTGTCGATTTAGCCAAAATGGTGGGTAAACATATGCACAAGAAAAAAATGTCCGAATATACGGAAAATGAGGACTACAAAAGTGATGCGGACGGTGGCGATGATGATGTGGGAGATAAAGAGTACCGGGTCAGTGGCAGCGATGGCTCGGAAAATGGCGATGCAGCCAAAAATGATGTTGGTGGTAAAACGAATGAACGCGATGACGACGAAGAGACTACACTGGGCGAAGATGATGATCTTGCCCAGGGTTTGAACAGTTATTCACATGGCGATGGAGATGATGGTGGCAGCCCGGCCGAGGACAACGATGATGATGAGGATTATGGTGCCGATAGCGCCAAAAAGTCCAAGAAACGTAAAACCGCTGGTGCCAAAAAATCACTGGACACCAATGAAAGTGATGATGAGGCGCTAAATGGTGTTTCGCCGAAAAAGAAGGGACGCAAATCCGGCAAAGCTGGTGGTGCTGCTGCTAAAACTCCGGCCAAAGGAAAAGCTAAGGCGAAGAAGGCTGCACCCGTTGATGACGAAGAGGAAGATGATGGTGGCGAGGAGGAGGAATATGAAGTCAAAGATATTGTTGGACACAAAACAGAACGTGGTGTTTCATATTTCCTGATAAGATGGAAGGGCTACACCAAGGCCGATGATACTTGGGAAGCTGAAGATAGTCTTAATTGTCCGGATATAATCGAGAAGTATAAGAAAAAGGTAAGTGGCTATGGAAGATGAGATATGTTTTATTTTAAATCGAATGGAAAAATCATATGGGTACAGTTGCCACCAAATTATTTGATATGTGTGAAAAAATGTAAATAGGGTTGCCATGCCACCAGAGGGCGAAGCCGATGTAAAATTCTCGGCGGCGGCGGCTAAGCATAAAAAAGTCGGCGGCGGCTAAAAGTCGACTGCAGCCGAAAGAAAATCGGCGGCGGCGGCTAAAGCAATATACGGCCGGCGGCGGCTAAAAGTCGGCTACAGACGACGACTTTAACGTGAACAAATAATTTCGGTTGTTTTAATAACTGTCAATTCATTTAATTTAAAATAAAAATGAAAATATAAGTTTATATGCACATTTGTTGCTTATAGCACATTAAAAATTAATAAAAATACTTTAATTTGATAAAAATGGTTCGACGACTGCCTTGTTATCGTGAACAAACAATTGTTTCTTTACTGTTGCCGGATGCAGGCTGCTTCTCTTTGCATTTACACAATTCCCGGCATATGAAAATGCTTGCTCTGAAGATGCTGATGTGGCTGGAATTCCAAAGCACATATTTGCTACAGCAGCAACATTTGGAAAGATCTATAAAAAGTAAATGGTCAAAACGTAACCTGCTTAAAATAAGTTTAAGATGTGAATCTTTAACGTACTTGTTTGTTCTGTCGCCACCAATCTAGAGGCTCAACCGCCTCGACTTTCATTTCCAAATATTTTCTTATTTCTAACTCTACGTTATTTTGTACATTAGAAGGCGATGGTCCCATAAATTCCAACATTCTTTGACGACTAGCTGATATTTTCTGCAAGTAAAATATACGTTAGTTAAGTTTACCTTTACATTTATTAAAACATAATACCTGTTTTTTTGCATTTGGTTCAGTGCTCGTTGATGGCTCATTTAATAATAGGTCATCGATTTCCTTTAATTTTTCAATTTCTTCCATAATCAAGTTCTCCTTGGAAATTGGAGACAGAACATCATGCACAAGTTCCAAGGAGTTTGGCGATTGTTTGGGTATCTGTAGTATATATTTATCTAAAACAGGCCAGTTTTTTTTGGCATGGGTCCATAAGCGCAGCTACAACATACATTCTATATACTTTGAATCGCTTCGTAAAGTTTTGCACAGCGAAATTGCATAAATTGATTGTTAGTTCAAAAGACGCTTTTTCTTCTTCTTTCTTCAATGAGGACAAAATGGATTCCTGAAAATAAATACACGAAGATATCGTCGGATAATCTTGGCCTTGAAGGTGTTTTGTGGCGTCCTCAAAAATTTTTAAAAACGTGCCAAATTCCGTTATAATTTGCATTTCCATTGTCCCAATCACTAACAGTTCCTTTTTAGCTTTAACTAATGCTATATTTATAGTGGATATATTATTCGTATAGCTTTGAATCATTGCAAGCAGAGAGTTCCAACGTGTTGCAACGGAATTTTTCAAAGAGGTGTGGTGCTTGACGTTTAAAGTTGCTTCATATTGTTCAGTAAAATAGTCATCTCCATGTGGAAATTGTTCGCAACTATCCAAACTCTCCAAAATTATTTCAACCTCTGTAAATATTTTTACTAAATCGTTTTGTTCCTCCATATTTTGAATATTTGATATTTCTTCATAGCTATACATTAAGCTGCCATAAATTTTTTTTAATTTTGATATTATGTTATTAATATTTTCAAATGACTTGTTGTTTAGTATATCTTCCATCAAAAATCTGTGTAAAACATGAGCCATACAACCATATCTTGGTATATTTTTAATTTTTAAAGCTGAAACGATGTTGCTTCCACCATCAGTAACAGCACATATGTTTTTTTCCAACAGATTAAATTCACATAAAGCTTCTTCAATTTTTTCTACAACTGCTAGTCCAGTGTGAGGTCGTGGAAAGATCTCTGTCTTGAGCGTTACAATTTGCATTTGAAAATTTTGGCAGAAATGCACTTTTATGTTTATGTAAGACAAGTGCTTATGTTTATCTGACCACATATCCAATACAAGTGTAACATTTTCGGGCGACTCTTTAAGGCTTGTTTTTACGTGGTCCAAATATATGTTATAAACATCGTTTAAAGCCGTTGTAGCTATTGTCCTATCTGTGGGGAATATAGCCTTTGGGTTTAAGAAAGATACCAATTTCTTAAATCCTGGCCTTTCAACAATTTTAAACGGTTGCAAATCCCAACAGCACATTTCGGCGACCCGGCGAGCATTTTGTTGTTTGTTGTTACAACTTGTTGAGGATTTCAATGCATTTTGTGTCATTGTTGAACTTTTCAGGTTATTTAAAGATTTCACGTCCAAGTTATGTACTGCTCGTAGATGGTTCATATAATTTGTGGTTGATGTTGATTTTCCAAAACTAAAATCATAAACAATTACACACATGCGAATGGAAAAAATTAGAAATTCTTACCTTTTTAAATTGGTCTTTTCATCCAAACACAATTTGCAAAATTTATATTTTTGAAGTATATGCCTCTTTTTAAAATAGAGATCACCAAAATATTTCCAACACAATGATATACCACCTTCATTTACAACAACCTTTGCCAAATTTTTAAATTCATTTTTCTTTTTAAAAAGATCTTCATATTGAGATACATCTGCATATTGAGAAATATTGATTTCAGTATCAACAGATTCGTCAGAATCGGATTCTGATTTAGTCAAAACTGTTTGACCCTTTCGGTTAGCGGAAAAATAATTTTTAATATTCCTTTGGCACATTTTGCATTCTTTTCTTTGAACAAGCAAAAACACAACGAATCTTTGGCAAATAATATGGTTGCCACTCCATCAAAATTCGTAAGTTACAAAAGGTTGCCAAAGGTTTTGTGATAAAAAAAAAAAAACAAATCTACAAAGACATAATACCCTTACCACTATGTGCTGTAGGGTATAATTAATATAAATAGCCTACACGTTTTTGCCTCTCGAAGACGAGTGCACAATGTAAATTATCGTCCAATAATGAGCATTATAATATGTTAATTTATCGATAAGATTAAAAGACATATTTATACAAATTTGCTGTATAAATTTATATTTTTCAACGGCTTAGCCGACTCAGTCGGCTAAAAATTTGAGCCGATGAGAGCCGCATACATCAGCGGCGGCTCAGATCACTTAAAAAAAGTCGGCGGCGGCTGCACGCCGACTGCGAGCCGATCGGCTTCGTGCTCTGCATGCCACTGTCTATTGTTAATGTTGCGGGGAATTTTTTGTATTGCCGGTCATTTTCTACAAGGGAGAAAAATGTGTGAGTGTGTGTGTACGTGCTTGTTATTTGTTTACATTTGCCATGTAATTGAAGTTGAGTTCAACTTCTTGGTTTGTTGCACTTAGCTGTATCATATTGTAGTGTATGTATGTATATTGGGTTTAGAATGTTTCTAATAGTTAAGGCGACCAGATTTTGAAAATGAAAATAGATGACAAAACGAAAAAAGTATATTTTCATAAAAATAATACTCTTGGAATCTTTAAGGAACATAGCAAAGAAGTAGACCTATGTCGACTATGTTTTCGAAGGATATTTTGCAAACAAGGAAATCCACTTTAGAAGGCAAAATTTTGTAAAATTAAAAAAAAGAGATAGGTTTTCAATCCTATGGAAAATGTTTTCAGAAACCCTAAAAACATTTTTTATGGAATCAACAGATAATTCGTTTGGAAGATGTGTCTAAAAATACTGAAAATACATTTTCTAAATATTTCATTAAGATTTCATTAAGTTAATTAATTTGTTTTAATTACAAAAATAAATAATGATCAAGGTTTTAAAAACCGATTGCCACGAAATTTATTACACGTCATTCTAGACATACTTCAGTACGCTATGCAAAAGTTCGTGCAAATTGAAAGATTTTCAGGGACTTTGGTGCAAAATTTACCTGAAATCGGACGAAAATATATGGGAGCTATATCTAAATCTGTATCGATTCAGAAAGTGTTTCTAAGCATATTCTCAAAAGGAAATATGGGCCTATCTCGATTCCTTTTGCCTGTTACAAACATATGCACAAAGACATAATACCCTGTACCACAGTAAAAAAACAAGGTGACCATATGTCCTCTTTTTTAAAGGACAATCATCAATTTTAACTGTCTATAAAATTTGTGTCCTGTATCTTTATAATCTGTCATCTTTGTCATCATCTATATTTTTAAAACCTTGATCATTATTTATTTTTGTAATAGCTCCCATATATAGTTTCGCCCGATTTTAGGTAAATGGTGCTCCAAAGTCCCGGAAAATCATTAGATTTTCACAAATTTTGGCATAGCGTACTGAATTGAGTTTAGAATGATGTGTGCTAAGTTTCGTAAAAAATCGGTTCAGATTTAGATATAGCTCTCCCATATATTGTTTCGCCCGATTTTAGGTAAAAGGTGCACAAAAGTCCCTGCAAATCTTTTGATTTGCACCAAATTTGGCATAGCGTACTGAATCAAGTCTAGAATAATGTGTGCAAAGTTTCGAAAATCGGTTCAGATATAGATATAGCTCCCATATATATTTTAGTCCGATTTAAGGTAAATGGGGCACCAAAGTCCCTATATATCTTTCGATTAGCACGAAAATCGGTTCAGATTTAGATATAGCTCCCATATATAGTTTTGTCCGATTTTAAGTAGTTTAGATATAGATAAATCTAAAAATATCTAGAATATACCCAAAGTGGTGAAGGGTATCATATAGTCGGCCCAGTCCCTCTTTACTACTTACTGGTTTTAATTTTGAAAAACTAATGAAGCTCTAAGTTGAAATAAATAAAAGGGTATTTCGTTCATTTAAATTTCGTTCACCTATAAGGTGAACTAAAATCTAATAAAAATCTATATTCCCCGAGATCCGAAAATAAAAAAAAAATGATAATGGGATATGAATTTACCTGCCATAAAAATTTCGAAGCTCCAAATATGCCCTACTGTTTTTACACATTGGTCTAAGGCGTCAATCCTTGGCCGAATGGCAGTCGGGTCTTTTTGGTATCGTAGACCCCACTGTCGCGGGATAATATGTTGTTGTATCATCCTCTTTTTATTGAAAGGACATCAAAAAAGGTAATGAAATATATAGAGCTATTTTTAGAGTCTCTCCTATATAACTAACCCTCACTATTTTCATTACATCGTAAGTTATAGCTGGACTGGAAAATGTCATTAAAAATATGTGTCAATATAACTATGTTGGAGAATATAAAAAATTTGTTCCGTTCGAACTTAATTTAAATCTAGGAATTCTATTAAGATTTTCAAACCAAAGCTATTTATAATAATTAAAAATAAAAAATTAAATATATTTACCTTTACAATTTCAGCAAGCTGCTGCCACCTCACCGAAAAAAGGTGCTACGCCCGCCTCGAAGAAAGGTAAAAAAGGTGCTGCTGCTGTCGCTTCCGCCGCCAAAGGCAATAAAAATGCCAAAAAACAAAATGATGCCGATGAAGATGATGACGAGGAACAAGAATGGGAAGTCGAGAAAATTATCGATTATGCCGAAGAGAAAAAGGGCCGCGTATTCCGTATACGCTGGAAAGGTTTCGGTCCCAAACATGACACCTGGGAGCCAGAAGCAAATCTTAATTGCAAAGACATTATCGATAAATTTATGAAACGTATGAAATCCGAAGAGAATGTCTCCTTTAAAGAGCTACGTGAAGAACCGAAAAAGACTAAACGTTTGGTAAATGAGACAGCACCACGTACCAATATACACAATCCGATTGGGCGTAAATCGAAACGTGGTGGCAACAAGCAAAGGTAAGGTAAATATTTTTGCTAGTCCCCCCGATCACGAGTAGTTCTGAAATTTTTCTAATGGCAATATTTTGTTTCTCTCTTTGCCTTTTGTTTTATTTATAGAGTTTACTATGGCGAGGATGATTAAACACATTAACGTTTTTTTGAATTGAAGAAACTCGCAACAAAACAAACAAAAATAATCAGTTCAACAAAAAAACAGACAACAACCAATTTTTTTGAACATCATCCGTTTTGATTTGATTATCGAGTTACTTTACATTTTTTTTATAATTTATTATTTTTTTCTCACTTTGTGTGTTGGTGTGTGTGTGCTTCTGTATTTTTTAGGTGTAACAAACATTTTAGGATTTTTACGTTTTCTTTTTCAAATGAAAAAGTTATACAAACAATTTAATTGTATATTCCATAGATATGACACATCATTTTCAAGTGGTTCGAATATTCGAAAAACACATTCCAAATAGGTTTTTACAAAATGTTTAGTAATTTCATATATACATGCGTATCAGTTTGGAAATTACAAGAATTTTTTTAGGAAATTCTCTTTATATTTTTAGGAAATTCTCTTTTATGAAGTATTTGGAATTTTTGGTTTATAAAAAATATTTAAAAAAAGTTTGCATCACTTCAAAAATTATCGAATTTAAATTACATGCATCATTAAATGACATTTGAAAATGGTGTAATCATGGGAATTGAAATGTGTTAAAAAATTAATTACCCAGAGAACTATTTTTTTTTTTCATATTTTACCATTAAAATTTTAGCGGTTTTCAATTTTTATTAAGACTTACGATTATCAGCAAATCTCAATTCACAATCATCACGTAGATCGTGAAATTACCTTTTAAAAAATCCATTTTTAAATTTCTCCCCAAAAAATCAAAATTTTGATATAGTTTTATAATATTAGTTTTGAACAGAAAGAAAGAAATTAACAATCATCATCATCATTATTATTATTACTCGTCTTTATAAATAGCAAACCATTGTTTGGTATATTTTAAATATTTAATATTTAAAACCAAACAAAGAAAAAAATGAATGTTAAGAAATCCCTAAATGAAAATACAAAATAATGTACCTATTTAAAGGTATGAATAAAGAAAACAAAAAATAATCCCACTCAAATTACAAATACAAAATTCGTATAAAACAAATATTTAACACATGAAAAAAATGATAAATTTTAAAACAAATATTGTAATATTATATATATAACAACTCTGATGTCTAGATTTAAAAAAAATGAAAAAAAACACACACACAAGAAAAACAAAAAAAGAAGAATGAACGTAAAAACGTAACGAAAAAAAAAAACAATAAGAAAGTATGTTTTAATAAAAACAAAAATTAATGAAATTAGTATTCTTTTACAAAAATAATATTAAGATAGGTGGCGAATTTGCAAAACAAAAAAAAAAAAAATATATATATATATATATAAATCCAACAAATTTAGAGAATATTTTGGTAAAAAATTAGTACTCTTTTAAAAAATAATATCAAGATAGGTGGCGAATTGCAAAAAATCTCCAGCAAATTTAGAGAATATTTTTTTTTTGCGAAAACTTTGAAAGACTTTGTAGCATTTTTTTATTACGTGCAGTTTTACAGAGAATGACAGCCTTAGTAAATATTTTTTTTTGTTTTTTATTACTCTTTAAAAGATCTATGTTAGAATTCTTAAAGGCTGTATATATTGATCATTGTAAAGTTATAATTATGACCATTAGGCAATAGCCCACAAATAATGGGGCTGTCCACTGGTGGACAATTTCGAATTGTCAAAATCCTCAACTAAAATAGATTGCTTTATTATTACACCTACGTACCATTTACATATTATTGCCTACTCAATTTTTCTATTTGGCTTCCCACTATACGCAACTTGTGGACGCACCCAACATTGTGCCCCCTTTCCGGCCATTTATTTATTTAATTAATTTTTTTATATACCACATACTGGTACAGAGTATTATGTCTTTGTACATATGTTTGTAACAGACAAAAGTAAACGAGATAGACACATGGTTCCTTTTGAGAATATGCATAGAATCACTTTCTGAGTCAAATTTTACATGTCCGTCGTCCGTCTGTAGATGTTATATTGTAAACAAAGTACAGGTCGCATTTATGATCCGATTTGGATGAAATTTGGCACAAGTAACTTTTTGGGCCTAATGACGAACCCTATTGAAATTTGTGAAAATCGGTTCAGATTTAGATATAGCTCACATACATATTTATGTCCGATTTAATGTAAATGGTGCACCAAAGTCCCTATATATCTTTCGATTTCAATGAAATTTGGCAAAGCGCACTAAATAAAGCCTAGAATGAAGTGTGTTATGTTTCCTGAAAATATGGTGAGATTTAAATAAAGCTCCGATTTAAGGTAAATGGGGCACCAAAGTCCCTATATATCTCTCGATTTGCATGAAATTAGGCATAGAGCACTGATTTAAATCTAGAATGATGTGTGTTAAGTTTCGAAAAAGACGGGTCTGATTTAGATATAGCTCCCATATATATTTACGTCCGATATAAGGTAAATGGTGCACCAATGTCCCTGTACATCTCTCGATTTGCACGAAATTTGGCATAGAGTACTGAATTAAGCCTAGAATTATGTGTGTTAAGTTTCGAGAAAGGCGGGTCTGATTTAGATATAGCTCCCATATATATTTACGTCCGATATAAGGTAAATGGTGCACCAATGTCCCTGTATATCTCTCGATTTGCACGACATTTGGCATAGAGTAGTGAATTAAGCCTAGAATGATGTGTGTTAAGTTTCGAGAAAATCGGTTCAGATTTAGATAAAGGTTCCATATATATATTCGTCCGATTTCATGTAAATGGTGCACCAAAGTCCCTAAATATCTTTCAATTTCCACGAAATTTTGCATATAGTACTGAATTGAGTCTAGAATGATGTGTGCTAAGTTTCGCGATGCTCCCATATATATCTTCGTGCGTTTTGACATAAATTATTATTGCGTTTTGTTGATATTGGTGCAGAGGTAGCTAGCTTCCATATGTATTTCGAACGGGTGTCTGATTGAGATTAACGGGTGTCTGATTGACATTAACGGTTGTCTGATTGAAATTGCGTGTATCTATATTTATAGATTATAGCAATCGATTTATAGCAATCGTTTTCCATAAATTTGTCCCATGGTACGCAGACGACTCTCAATCTGCCCGAATGAAATTAAATTTAGCATAGGCTGCAGAAAGGCATGAGTATGTCCCTTCGAGGGAACATTGACATACAAATGTAAGGATACATATATACAATATACCCAAAATAAAAAAAAAATATATCTAATTTAATATTGTTTTTTTTAATTTCAAATCTGTTCTATGTTTTAATTTAATTATTAAAATTTAAACCAGTAAGGAAAGTAGTAAAGTCGGACTGGGCCGACTATATGATACCCTATATAGTCGGCCCAGTCCGACTTTACTACTTTCCTTACTGGTTTAAATTTTAATAATTAAATTAAAAAATAGAACATATTTGAAATTAAAAAAAAACATATGATACCCTATATAGTCGGCCCAGTCCGACTTTACTACTTTCCTTACTGGTTTAAATTTTAATAATTAAATTAAAAAATAGAACAGATTTGAAATTAAAAAAAAAAACAATATTAGATTAGATATATTTTTTTAAATTTTGATAATTAGATTAAAAAATAGATCAGATTTGAAATTAAAAAAAAGAAAAAATAACTGGACCCAAAATATGTTATATTGAGGTTATGTTTAAAAAAATACACGCTGAGATATTTTAGTGGTTTTTTGAAAATGTTAATGCAGACATTTTTTATTGAAACTATTATAACCTCAGGAAATTGAAGTTTAGAAAATTAATATTTTTCTATTTTTTATTAAAAAATGATTTTTTTATAATTAAGACATTTTTAATCACCAATTAATTATTGGCAATTTTTACATTGTTTTTATTTTAGAGAAAATATAATTTATTTTTTGCCTGGTGAATAGACATTTTTTCTTTACAATATTAGATTAGATATTATTTTTTTTTTAAATTTTAATAATTAGATTAAAAAATAGATCAGGATAAATAGGTTAGATTTTTTTTTTTTGAATATTTTCTTATTATTTATTTAGATTTAGTGCGCCTCCAAGGTCAAATCAAACGAAGACTGTGATTTCAAATCATCATCTCATGATTATTGAAAACAAATAGAGTAACAAATTTAATTTATAGTTAAATTTCATGAAAAGGTTCATTAACACATATTTTGAAATTGAATTTCAGCAGCGATGACTCGGATGTATCTCCCTCAGTAGCAGATTTTGCAACGCCCAAAACTGTAAGTATAAAAAATAAACTGATAAGTTCACATTCGATAATTTGAAACTTAAGGGAAAAGGAGAAATACTCAATTTCCCAATTTTCTTTCTTTTTTTTTCAAAAAATAAAAAATTTTCAATTAATTAAGAGATGGAAATTAACCAGTTTCAAATTATTGACCGTTGACCATACCCTATGTAGGTAGTGACAATCGAAAAAAAAATCAAGTGAGAAACTCGATGAAAATTTTAATTTTACCTTGAGGAAGTTTCTGAAATAAATTAATATGCGAAAAATTGAAATAAAATCAAGTGTGAAACTTGATGAAAAATGTAACTCCTCCTCAAGGAAGCTTCTGAAATAAATGCATGTACGAAAAATCATGTACCTTGAAAAATGTAACTCCACCTCAAGGAGGATTCTGAAATAAATTCATGGGCGAAAAATATATATTTAATACTTTTTGTCGTATTATTAATGTTCCTGATTTTTGTATCTTTATATCATTCAATTCGTATTAATGAGAAAAATACACCTAAACTTATAATTTTTCTTGTTTTTGTTCTTGCAGAAATCTGGCCGCTTTAATGGATTGAAACAGGAAACTCCCGGTAGTGTGGATTTCAGTGATTTTGGTGAAAATGCTTCATTTTTAAATCATGTCGATTATGTAATGAATAAATTACCCGCCTCAACGGTGGAACGCATGCAAGGAAAAATCTTCGCCCTACTCTATGAGGAATTGGGCAAACATACGCCAAAGAGAAAAGGCCTTTAAGAAGTCGTCATAATTTTGTTTTTGTCCAAATATATGTAAGATCCATCAGCATCATCATCACCATCATGATTACAAAAATAGAACACAAGTCAACAATTTAAAAAAAAACCAAGTACACACTAAAATTTAGTGCGACAACAATTTTAAATAAAACAGAAAACATAACCTCTAAAACGTGAGGTTATGCAAATGAAAAAATATTTATAAATGATTTTTTTTATTAAAAAAAAAATATTTTTATCATGTCAACAATATTATATTAAATTACTAAAATTGAATACAGCAAACCTTTTTTAAATAAAACAAAATAACCTCAAAAAGTGAGGGTATAGAAAATACATTTTTTTCAGATTTTTTTTTTAATTTTTACAAAATTTATTGAAAAAAGGGAATAAAAAATAAAATAAATGTTTTTTTATTAAAAATTTTGAAATAAAATCAATATAACCTCAAATGTGAGGTTAGGTAAAACACAAATATCTCCCAAGATTTTTTATGAAATGGTTTTAGAGTTTTTCAAATAAATTTTTAAATCAATGCATTTTTATTAAAACTATTATAACCTCAAAAAATGAATTTTAGAAATGGAAAAAATTTCTTTAGTTATTATTTTTTATTACAAAAATGATTTTTATTATTAAAACATTTTAAATAAAATGTTGAAAAAACACAGTATTTTCAATAAAAAAAAACATGCCTTAAAATGTTCAAAAACACTAAAATATCTCCCCGTGTATTTTTTAAACATAACCTCAATATAATATTTATAAAATATTTTGGGTCCAGCTATTTTTTTCTTATGTTTTTTCTTACAAAACAATTTTTAATATTAATTTTTTTTAATATTAAAAATTGTTTTGCAAGAACAAAATAGCTGGACCCAAAATATTTTATAAATATTATATTGAGGTTATGTTTAAAAAATACACGGGGAGATATTTTAGTGTTTTTGAACATTTTAAGGCATGTTTTTTTTATTGAAAACTATAATAACCACATGAAATTGAAGTTTAGAAAATGAAAAATATTTTTCCAGTTTTTTTTAATAAAAAATGATTTTTCCTATTAAAACATTTTAAATAAAATGAATAAAAAACACGGTCTTTTCGGGAATTTTTTAATAATAAAACTTATGTTTTGAAATAAAAAATAATTGGATCCAAAATATATTTATAATATATTGAGGTTTTTTGAAAACTTTAATGGCTTATATTTTAAAACGTCAACTAATGTATTTAAACATACATTGGACTTTTTTCTAGCATACTGAACTAAAATATTCGAATATTAATATAAAAAATAACAACAAATGTTAATTAGTTTGTTAAAAACCTTAGGTTTTCATAAATGAACTCCGGCCAATTTTCAGTGTTAATTCTTTATTTTTTTTTTATAAAATTCATACTTTATGTTTATTATTAGCGTAAAATGCCACTGGCTATATATTTTTATTAAAAAGTTAATTTGTCACTGGTGTTACCTCAAATGTATCTTATTCAAATCCATATATCTTAAATAACATATATACAGTTCTCATATTGTTGACTTGTGTTTTACGACGCCATTATACCCCTCAAAAATATAGAACTCCATTAAAAATATAACGCAACTTTTGTTGTGTTACACTACAGCACCATTTTTTTATCAACGTTTAATGTTATGTCTTTAACATAACCTTAAAGACATGTAGTGCCGTTATTTTTAATTAATGCGGAATACATTTTAAGCTACATGGCCATATTAAACAGAATTTGTAAGATTTTTTTCTTTCCCACTCCACATAATGAATCGTTAAAAAATATGTTACTTTTAAATTAAAAATAATTCTGCATTAATAACAAATTATCAGCCATTTTATTATTTCCACTTGTCTTTATCTTACATACAAATTAGTTTTCCTTTTTTGTTCCCTTTTATCGTCACCGAATGAGGCATCATATTATATACTTAATTTTTTTATTTACTTCACCTTTAATGTGTTAGTTTATTTTAAAATATACAACTTTATTTTCCATTTTTTGTTTTATTGTGAAGATGTATGTATTCAAAATCATGTATCAATTAATTTATACATAATTTGAAATAATAATAAAATTAAAAAGACTTTTAAAAAAATGTATTTGTTTTCCTATGTTAGTTCATATATTATGTCAATTTTATTGGACATACTAAAATACTATTAATATATAGTATTTTACAATCGAATATACAATATAGGAAAAAATACCTGGAAACCCTGTATATTTAATCCCCAAGGAATAAGGCCCTTGAATTTTGGGAATCTTCTTTATAAAAATCATTTCTATAGAAAAAAAATAGAAAAATAAATAACCGACTTAGAACAATCCATAAACATGTTTTTTTGAACCTATACTAAACTATTCATTTCGATTTCAAGCAAATCTCAATCATTGATTATTTGAACGCCAATAAACATGAATTCAGTCGAATATATGGGCTATGTTTGCATTTCTATAAAAAACAATTATGTCATTCTATACTCATTTTGGAACGTTGTGTAACATTTTGCGTCAATCTGACAATAATGAGAAGTTTGGGGCCTTCTTTAATTAAATTAAACATTAATAGAAGCTATATCTAGACCGATTCCAACAAAATTTGACACACGTACGTAGTACAAACTTTTGTGTTAATCGTTTCAACTTTGGGTCTCGTGTGCACCATTTACTTAAAATCGTGCCAAACTATATATGGGAGCTATAACTAAATCTGAACCGATTTTTACGAAACTTAACACACATCATTCTAGACTTAATTGAGTACGCTGTGCAAAATTTCGTGCAAATCGAAAGATATATAGGGACTTCGATATACTATTTACATAAAATAGGACAAAAATGTATATGGGAGCTATATCTAAATTTGAACCGATTATCACGAAACTTAACACACATCATTCTAAACCAAATGTAGTATGCTGTGCCAAATTTTGTGCAAATCGAAAGTAATGTAGGGGCTTTCGTACACTATTTACATAAAATCGGACGGAAATATATATGGGAGTTATATCTAAATCTGAACCGACTATCACTTAGTAGACATCATTCTAGACCCAATTCTGTACGTTGTGCCAAATTTCGATCAAATCGAAAGATATATAGAGACTTTGGTGCACCATTTACATTAAATCGGACGAAAATATATATGGCAGCTAATAGTAAATCTGAACCGATTTTCTCCAATTTCAATAGGGTTTGTCATTGGGCCAATTAAGTGACATGTGCCAAATTTAATCCAAGCCGGATGATAAATGTGATTCTATGCATATTCTCAAAAGGACACATGTATCTCGTTTCCTTTTGCCTGTTACAAACATATGCACAAAGACATAACACCCTGTACCACAGTGTGGTGAAGAGTATAATAAAGACCTAGGATCTTGACAATTCATTCATATAGAGAAAGTTACGAATTTGCTTCATGCAAATTAAAAAAAAAAAAAAAAAAAAAAATCAGAATATTGCGATATTTTGTAAAGGGGATAATTAGGGGAAAATTGAATAAACTACTGGGATTTTGAGATTTTTTTATCCAAAATTAATTCAAGATTTCTCTGATACTGCAGTTATTTCACACCTGACCAAACCCGTGAGTCTCAAAATAGATCGCGCAAATATGTTGTGTAGTCTTAGAAAATAATCATCACTTCCCCTCCAGTCCACCTCGTGTAGGCAAGAATTTCACCAGCTAATAAATTTTATTTTTTTTATATAAGAACTTCATGGAACTGGGCCTATATTCCTATAAACACCCATGGTAACATTTTTCCGTCATGCCTCGTGAAGTCCTCCTAGCTCGTCTCAATTTTTAATATAACAAGAAACAATCTAGTTGTCATTAAATCATAGTTGATCGGGGTTTTTATTTATGTGTTCCCAGTTCTTAAATAGGCCGAATAAAATTTATAACATACAACGCAAGCAGGATTCAAAGATGTAGTTATGTCCATCGGATCTTTAATTATATTATAGTTTTCAGGCTAACATTGATTGGCATTTTCTTGCCATTTCGACAAAAATCTGCGATGTGATTGAGGATTTGTTTAAAATCCATAATGAATTAGACAAAACAAAATTAATTATACCAATCGGGCTCAAACAAGTATTTCGGTTCATTATTCATGTTTTGTTAATATATATTTTATAATTATTATTGATATTGAATTGTTCTCAGGCGTATATTGAATATATTATTGGCCTCTAAGGCTTAATTATTACTGAATGAATAAATATTTCCGTTTTCTCGTTTTTATGTAGATACAATAATTTATCGCCCTACCAACTAGTTTAAGTGTGTCCAAAAACCCCAGTTTCATAGCTTATATGGGAAGGTTTCACATTAAACACCTAAGCGTGAATATTAATTATTTCAGCTTGACCTCTCCTTCCATGTTAAGTAATTCAAAAACTTCTTTGATTTATCACTTCGACAAAAAAAGAAAAACATGTTATAATTTATTTATAAATCTTCCTATAGTTAACGCATTAGGTTGTGATTTTTTTCATTTGTTTATTTTCTAGCATTCGTTTATAAGCCAGGTTGAAGACCGAAACCGGGGCCCTTGGGTTCCTCACTCAATGAGGTGGGCTCACCCTTGGGTTCGCTGGCAAAACGGCCATTACGGGGACCGGGAGGAGAGACACGATCAGCCTTGCAGTCGGCCAAAATTTCTTGCATATCCTTGGCGGTTAAATCTTCCTATAAAATTACAGAAAAAATATAAATTTAAGAATAAAACAAATAAAATACCAAGATCTTACATAGTAATCATCATTAATGGCTACCATGGGAGCATTGACACAGGCACCCAAACATTCAACTTCGGAAATGGTGAATTTCATATCCTTGGTGGTTTCACCAACACCAATGCCCAAAGTTTTCTGCAAGAGAAAGATGTTTTATTGTTATTGAAAATGCATCAGTAAGGCAAAGATCTTACCTTGCATGTTTCCAAAATTTCATCGGAACCTCTCAACCAACAGGGTGTAGTTGTGCACACCTGCACGTGATATTTACCAGTGGGTTTACGCATAAACATTGTATAGAAAGTGGCTACTTCGTAGACACGCATATTGGGCAATTCCAAAATTTCAGCAACCTTGTGCATGGCGGAAATTGGCAACCAACCGTGTTGACGCTGGGCCAAATCCAACAAGGGAATCATGGCACCACGTTTGTGTCCCTCAGGGTAGATGCTCATGATGGCTTCAACGCGCTGGAGAAAACCAAACAGGAAAATGATTTTTTTAAATAAATCTCTATGATTATAAAAATACTATTTTATGATATAAGATAGGTTTATGTTGGGTAAATTATATGATAGCTATAGACACAGTGTAAAGTCCCGATAGTATTTGTTCCGCAACAAGTCAAGTTTAGAGTTTATTAAAACCGGTATATATGTTTTGTGGAATTCAATACTTCTAAAGACACGTGCTTTCAAGGTATACTGCGCTCTATTATCCATTCCGGAACCAATAGAGCCCATTCTCTGGAAACCTTGTATTGGTTTTAACATTGAAAAACGCAATATGGGTAGCACTTCGATGCCCTGATTATAACAATAGTATTGACTTTTCCCTATGGACAGGCACCAACATTGGTTGTGAAACTGAATCTCCGTTTTTGAATGAATGTTAATGCACATTCTTCATAATTAGGACAAAATCCGCTTCAAAATGGTATCCAATAGCATCTTAGTTAATTTTTAAATGAAATTAAAGCACCAAGGAAACTTTGAGGACCCGTACCTCATATACCGCATGTCAAAAACCTCATATACCGCATATACCGATGGTCAAACTACTGACTTTTCTCCGGGACATACCGCCGATGAAACCGACATGTCGTTATAAACTATTTCGACTGAACTGTCTAAGTCTCTAGTGCTACTAATTGCATAATTATAATGCAGTCCAGAATCAGGCTCCTAACCAGATTTAAGTTTAAATTCCTATTGGAATCCATATTAGGAAGGACTACCTACAAAAATCTCAAAATATACAGCATTTGTTATACTGTTCATCCGAACCATAACATGCACATTTCTTAGGTTCACTGGCACAATTTTTTCTAATTCTGTTCAATCCAGAAAATTTTTTATAAGTTATTCAAGAAGAAGCTTTCGAATGCAGCCAATCTGACTGAGACCTTCTTCGGATGGTGATACTTTAGTTTATAACCGGTTTTTTATACTGGATAGACGGACTTTGTTCCGGAATCGATGACTTTTTCCTAGGAACAGGGTAACAATCGTCGTGTTCTATTAAAAAACATACTAACTAAATATCCAGTATTGGCAAAATCCGAATATAATCTTTATTTCGGGAATTATGGACTCGGGGCAGGTTTTCCCAAAAACCAAGACTCCAAAATCTACAACTACACTCAATTACGTTTGAATCCACCTTTCAAAATACACATTAATCGCTTGGACCATGACATAAGTAATTGAAAATCACATCTTCCAAAAAAAACTTACCTTCTTATTTTCCGGTGTAAATTCAAATGGAATATCAGGATTGTCTTCGGGTGTATCACGATGGACAAACAAGTTGTCACTGCGTTGGGTGGCTGATGTAGCGATGGCACGTAGACTGCCGCGCTAAAATCAACAAAAGAACACAAATTCATTACTAAAATTATTTAACAAAATTAAGCACATATTTTGCGACAGGATTTATTGTGCCTCAAAAAAATTACATAACCTGTATATTCTTTTCAAATAAACTTTTTTTCCAATTCACACTCTATTATTTACACTTACCACATATTGCAGCGTTTTGGTGGCACAATTAGCAAGCATTTTTCTTATATTCAATGGAAATGTGCTGAATTTTTCGGTTTATTTCCAAGGAGTATGGAAGAAATTGTTGATCTCCCTCAAATACCGACAGACTTTGCTAAAAAAACACCAAACTAATTTTCGTCGTTATGTCAAATTCTTTTGACAAACTATAAACAGCTGTTTTCTATTTGTTGTTGTTTTGGTCATTTCAATGCATGGCACAGGGTTGCATAAAATAGTAGTCAAAGTGGGATGATAACAAATGTTTGTGAATGACGAGCGTAGTGTTTTATTTCTAAGTGGACAAATTGAGGGTATAGGCGCGTATGCATGGCGTATACGTCAAATATAATTCACTGGATTTGTGAACATGATTAAGGAGACGTATACGCTATGGAATTGACGTTTGAGATCGAGTGGATTTAGTAGTCTAAACTTGCTCTTAGACTAGTATTAGAGCGCGTTTAGACTACTAAATCCACTTGATTTCAAATGCCAATTACATAGCGTATACGTCACCTTAATCATGCTCACAAATCTAGTGGATTATAATTGACGTACATATGCGCTATGTGATTGGTATTTGTAATCTAAAACCCTCCTACTATTCCTATCTGAGCTTGAAATGTGCGCACGTTTTCGCTTTGGCGGATGTACTCAAGAAGTACAAATATTATAGCCTTTCAGGAAATGCGATGAAATAGGACTGGTGTATGTTAAACAGCTGATTACGATCTGTATTATTGCTGCCATGAAACGAGATATGATTTTGGCTGCGGATTTATGGTTAACAGGAGAATAAAAGACCTCGTCTCCAGATTCACTCCAGTAGATGAGCAAATTGCTATAATCCGTATAAAAACGAACTTCTACATCTGTTTAAATTTCCGCTCATGCTCCGACGGAAGACAAAAATAAATAGACCAAAGACATTATTTACGAACGCCTAGAAACAGCATATGACCGCTGTCCTGGCCATGACTTTTAAAGTCTGCTAGGAGATTTTAATGCAAAAATCGGAAAAGAAAATATTTTAAGAAAGATTGACTTCGCGGCAGCAAAAAACATGGTAGTTAGCAGGACCAGATTCAAACATTTCGATATACACAAGACTGAATTTCTTCTGATCAAGCAATGATAAATCAAATTGACCATATTGTGATAGACGGAAGGCATTCATCCAGTGTTTTAGACGTTTGATCGATCGGAGGAGCGAATATTGATTAGGATCATTATCTTGTGGCATCCAAGGTTCGCACCAGCCTTATTGCAACAGCAAAGGTGTGATCTAATATAACACGGAAACTCGATGTCGAAAAGCTGCAAACACAACAGATAACATAAGCCTCCACTCAACTTACCCGCCTGCTTGGCCAAAGCATTCCTTGTTCCGAAAATAATATTGAAGTCTCCCTAAAAATTGCCCACTCCCTACAAACTTCAGCAAAAGCAACACTAAAAGACCACCATCAAGAAACCCATGGTACAATCAGGAGTGTCGTCGTAATTCTACTGCTGTGAAAAACGTAGTGTATAGGGCAACCACGTAATGCGGGAGATAATTATCGGGAAAAAAGGAGAAAGAAGAAAAGTATTTTCAGAAAAAACAAGAAAAATGAAAGCGGGATACATAGAGTTGTGCAGAAGTCAGAATGAAGTTCGGAAATTTTACTAACTATGAAGAGGGTAACCTGGTGACAAATACAGAAAGCGTGCTTGGGATCTGGAAGTAGCATTTTGAAAAGCTTCTGGTATCAAATAGTGGCGGTGAAGAAGATACCCCAGAACCAATAATAATTGACGGTATAAATTGTATACCACCTAGCCAAGATGAGGTCAGAGTAGCAATTAATTGGCTGAAGAAAAATAAAGCACCAGGAGCCGATGGATTACCAAAGGAACTATTCTAGGTGGTGGTCAGACGCTGATCAGCAGAATGCACCAACAGATTAGTACAATTTGGCCAATGCGGCCTCAGACCTGACAAATCCACCATAGACCGGGTTTTTACACTGCGCCGACACATTCCAAAGCCGCATTCGACAGCCGAATCCGCTCAGAGATGTTCAGCAGTTAAATCGGAAAATACCTCTTGGAGTCCTTCAATACCGAACGAGGTAACTATTTTGTGTTCTTTTTAATAACCTGCTGGAAAAGGTCATACGAGAGGCAAATGTGAACAGAAATGACACTCTGTACAACTCATGTGACTCGCCTACGCGACGACATCGACATAATGTGTCGAACATTACGAGCGGTAACAGCCACCTGTGAACGAATTGAGAAAGAGTGTACCAAAGTGGGTCTGGAAGTGAATGGCGAAAAGACCAAGTTGATGGTATCAATGCGCAAGACGTTCAGTAGACTCGGACTAACTGTGAAACTTGAAAACTAAACCTTCGAGGTGGTCAAATATTATATATACCTTGGTACCGCCATAAATAAAACGAATGACATCAGTTTTGAAATTCGGAGAAGGATTGTGATGGCCAACAGATGTTACTATGGTCTGAATAAGCAATTCAAGAGCAAAGTCACCTCTCGTCAGACTAAACTCACACACTACAAAGAGATTGATACTACCGTGCTGTTGTATGGATCTAAAGCATGGGTACTTGCGCCAGCAGATGTGGCAGCTCTTGAAGTGTTTGAGAGAAAAATTCTCTGAAAGATCTATGGGTCGATCTGCGAACCATGATTTGTACCATCTATTCTCGGACTACGTTGCCTAGGTCATATTGTCGGAATGGATGACGATGCCCAGCTCAAAAGGCATATAAAAGCGAGCCAACTGATGGTGCACACAGACAACAGCGAGGAGCATCCGAAAACACATTCCAACTATTAAAGTTGGCAATGAAGTAATCGAATTTCTGACAGGATGAAGGATCTCGGAATCATTCTGCACGACCGCCACGTGGGTTACGTGCTGTCGAAGGCAAAGAAGAAGAACTTCGCCTTTTCCGTATGCGAGATTGATAATTTACAAGCAATTAATCCCTCCCTACCATCACGTACTCTCTCGCCGTTTGGGCAGACATATCGTCAGCTCAAATGGAAATAATTAGAGCATGGAAAAGAAGAATATTGGCAGCATGCGTGGGAATGAGGCCAACAAAAGACAGCAATGGGATCTACAGACGCCAGCCAAACCAAAACGTCTACGATGCCACAGATTTCAATCGAATCGATGTCTGCATGATGTGGAATGAGCTCAACTTCCTGGAAAGGAGCCAACTTGCGAAGAATAGGATAGTGGACTCCAGGAATTGGAGTATAATGAGGAACTCCCCGCCATTCTTAGAAGGAAACACCTGCCGCTGGCAGCATTGCTTAAGTTGCGAGATGAAGGAATTCCGTATGAAGATGACCAGTTGATGTATTACCATCGAAGATACCACCGTTTTGACGCTGATGTTGAGCCTGTGTTCAGCACAGAACTTCAAATGTCTACTATTTCATGAGGACTCCTCAAGGGTCCACTTCATATTGACACTTGCAACATGTTTAATATTGGACACCATATGGGATTATACACGTTTATGAAAGTAAAAACCTGACAACCTGTCTAGGTATGATAATATGTGCAATATGACCGTAGTTACAAAATTTATTATTTATTACCATAATTTAAAAAAAAGTGTGTACCTACATATGTGTAAAAAAGTATAATGAAATAATCGAAATTTCGCTAGGAAATATGTGTGTAAAAATTAAACTAATGAAAGTGAGTGCAAAGTTACTGGCGCTGAAGAGGTAATAACCTGCAAACACGTATGTACAGGTATTGGTTACAAATATGGGCAAAGTTCAACTCAATACAATCGAAGAAGGTAACGGATTGAGCACGGAACTTGTTAAGGGTGTTTATCCAAAAAAAAAAAAGAAATGTTGAGACATACCAAGTCAATGATCGTGGTGGCGGTACATTTAACCAGAAAAACAACATACCATTCATGATTTTAAACTGAAGAATGTCAACAACAACAAAAACAACATCGGCAAACATCATACATACATATATAAACGTATACTTATTTAATACAAATATGACAAAAATGAAGAAGCAGCAGCAAAAGAAGAAGCAAGAAAAAATATTTTTACGAACGGTATTATAAAAAAAAACACTTTCCCCAAAAGCCAAGTTTGTGTTGCTGTTGTCGTTATTAAAGAATGAATTAAAAACAACAACAACAGCAACAACATGAAATAACAGTGTCAGAGACAGCAGCGACAGTGACGGCACATACAAAAGCCAAAAATAAATTCAAAAACCCTCCACACGAAAATAAAGGTAACACCACATGTCAACGAACAAGTCATTGAGCCAACTCAACGAGACCAACCGAAAAAAACCCGACCACAGCCAACAACAAACCTCAAGCCCCAAACCAACATTTCTTTCAGGTTGCATTAACCATAAAGAAAAAACACTATGCAACAACAACAATAACATCAGAAAGCTAAATGACCACGGAAACTATCCGACTGACTACCAACTAACTAACCAACGGGTTGGCAGTCAACCAAAATCATGGTTAATTAACATTTTTTTCCGTGCCGCTAAAGAAGTCACCAACAAAGGCCTGATGAGAATGTTGATAACAAAAAGAAAAAAATGAAACCAAAATCTTGAAACAATGTTCTAGTTACAAATAGTTCCAGTTTGTGTTCCATTTCAGGTCTATGCTATGTGGTTGGTATCTTCAGTTTGCCGGGCCCTTTTCTTGCGGTAAGAAAATGAGGTTATGTAGTCATAATGAAAAAAAAACGTTGATAAGAGAGTCCAGAAAGTTAATTCGAAGCAGAATTGATGGTTATCTTTTCTGTGTTGTTCTTCTCATTTCTAACATCAAGTTTCGATAAATGGATCCCCAGTTTCAATGCTTTACTCATATGTGAATATATCTCGGGACGTGGCTTCTTGATGCTCTATTCATTATACGGCTATGGTATATATATACAAAAATCGTAAGAACTTCTTTAGTAAACTTGCTAAGAACAGGGACCTGGAGTTGTTGCAGAAGGTTGCAACCGTAGGTAATTCGGAGACATGTGAGTAGGCTTAGGACTGTTGAATAGGTGCAACGTGTTGTGTGGTCCTAGGTTGTTACGTATGCCTGCATATTACTTAGGCATAGTATCAATCGGACATATTGACATTGAGGGGAATAAGATAGCTGACGAGCTCACAATCGCCCAATCTTGCGATTGAGAGATCTGTGAAACCAACCATTGGCTATTTCATTGGCAAAATCCGCTTGTTCTACTGCGAGGCAGTCGGTAACAGATGGTCGAGAACCTGGGTTGCAGAATCTCAAAATCTATATGGCCTGAATTCTCTCGCCAAAGAACGTCTTCGCTGCTGGCACATAATAAGAGAGAGATCAAAATTATTGTGGGGATCATAACAGGTTACTGCAAGATTAGATCTCTCACTTCGAAATAGGACTCCGGCAGAGAGGATTACTGTCGTTTATGTGAGGACGAAGAAGAGCTAGAAACAATTGAACACATTCTCTGTAAATGTCCATCGCTGATTGGCAGAAGACATAAACAGTTTGGAAGATATGAAATTGATAATCTAGCCTTCATCTCTAAAATAGACCCCAACCAGATTCTAGGCTTTGTCAAAAATCTGACATAATATAACTATATCTCTGCTCTCACTATCTTTTCCCTTGCTCTTCCACTCTCTTTTCAGGTAAAAAAGGATGATCACAATGGATATTAGTCTCCGAGTGGACGGTTGTTACTAACAACCATACATCCCTAACCTATTAATCGGACTCCGACCAACCCAGCCTTATTCTTCTCTGGAGATAGTGCCAACCCTGATATGCCTGTCTTCGACATGCAACGTTATAAAATGGAACAAATTCAAAGAACACTTGACCCACACAATAATTTATCAACACTCGCCGGATACCTTCAACCGATGGCACTCGTTTCGCCCTCCCAACCATGATCACAGTGTCCTCTCATTGTCCTGCGACCCCACACACTGCTCACACCATATTTCTTACCTTGACCATACCATATTTCTTACAATCATTTCATGCCAAGCATTATCTACCAATATATTTGGTATCGTTCCCGGAAGTTATTGAGGCGAGCCATCAGTTCATATATGCCTTTTGAGCTGGGGTATCCTTATCCATTCTCACAAGATGATCTAGCCAAAGTAGTCTTTGACTATGACTATGTCGATGTCCGAGAACAGATGGTACAACCCATGGTTCATTTGACGACGATATTCACACTTGATGCTGATCGGCCCATAGATCTTTCGGAGAATTTTTCTCTCAAACACTCCAAAAGCTGCCCCATCTGCTTGCCCAAGTACCCTTGTTTCAGATCCATACAAAAGTACGGGTAGTATCAGCGTCTTGTAGAATGTGAGTTTGGTCTGGCGAGAGGTGGCCTTCTTCTTGTACATAGACCATGGTAGCATCACTATTCTCCTCCGCATTTAAAAACTGATGTCATTAGTTATATTTGTGGCGGTACCAAGGTATAAAAAATCATTGACTACCTCATAGTCCGAGTCTACTGGTCGTCTTGCGCGTTGATACCATCAGCTTGATCTTCTCGCCATTTACTGCCAGACTCGTTCACAATTTGTTCAAAGGTGGCTGTTACCGCTCTCAATGCTCGACCCATTATGTCGATGTCATCGGCTAGTAACATTTGTACAAAGTGCCATTTCTGATCACCTTTGCCTCTCGTATGACCTTTTCCAGCAGGATATTAAAAAGGAACACACGAATGTCATTGACCATTGCCTTCAGTCGTTCACACAGTAGGCTCCATAGCACTTTACATGCGATGGGAAAGAAACTTATTCCTATATAATTTGGCTGAGGTTCCAATCATTGGGCATGTATTCCTCGAGCCAAATTGCACAAATAAGCTGGTGCATGCTCCTAACCAGCATCAGACGACCGGTCTTAGTCCGGCTAGCACCTGCTGCTTTTTTGTTCTTCAGCCAATTAATTGCTTCTCTGACCTAATCTTGGCTATACCGTCATCTCTTATGGGGTATCTTCTTCACCGCCACTATTTGATACCAGGAGCTTTGCAAAAGCTCCACCCAGATCCTCAGCACGCTATCTGTATCTGTCACCAGGTTTCCTTCTTTATCTTTACAGGAGGACATGCCTGCACCAAAGCCTTCGGTTTGGTGTTTTAATCGTTGTTAAAATTCGGATTTCATTCTGACTCTTGTACATCCCGATTTGCTCACGCTCACGTTTTTCTTGTTATTTTTTTATCTGAAAATACGCCATTCTAAAGATGGTTTTAATATTATTTATGGTTATGTATATTTTTTCCATTAAATCTGAATACACTCTACAAAATGTCCGACCCAAGAACAATAGAAAATGCGAAACATTTTGCATGCAACTTCAGTATTAACCATTGAAAATGCGATTCTACACGAATCGTCGTCTACAAATTGCCGCATAAGTGATTGTAAGTGTAACGTAACGAACAAACGAAGAGTGAGAGAGAAGCGTAAGAGTACGACACGTTAATGGGTAATGAGTTCAGTTCACCTTAAAAAGTGCCAAGAAAATTGCTGTGTAAATTATGTCGCTGTCGATGCCAATGTACCATCATCATCGTCATCTTGTTGTTGGTGGTGGTGTTGCCTCGTTTCAATGAAGTCGCAACTCGCAACTCACATAAAAAAAGTAAAGAAGTAAGACGAAGTAGAAACCGATTACGTGATAATGGATTTTACTGACCAGTATCCATAATGGTGCTTGATGTATTTGTGGTAGTGTTTTACATGCAATGACTGGAATTGTATAGAAGCACAGCACGATATAAAGAATTGTATTTCATGGCGAGAAAAGTGAGATGCCAAAGTGAATCGAAATGTAAATTGAGAATGGTGAAATTAATGTCTCAATGGCGCCCACTAATTAACTAGGCAAATGTGAGGGGTCTGTATTGAACTTGAATTATTGTTTGGTTAGCAATTTTGTGGTCTCAAAGTGTGTGTTTCGAGGAGGCGAAAGGAGTGTCATTCCCAAAAAAAAAAATTTATTAGACTCTAGTCTTAATTGATCTGCTGAAGCTGAGTCTATTTCAATATATCATTACCGGTAGAATTATCGTGGTATCCGATGAATCAATAAAACATTATTTTTATCTTCGTAAATATAGTTCGGAATAGAACAAAGACGAATGGTTAGATGATGTGTGTGGATTAACTGATGTTAAGTAAGGTCAACACGAAGGACAATTACCAAATCCTCTAAAATCCTGTAAATAATTTTAGAATGTTATCGATCTTTTAAGAATATTATCCATAACTATACACGCATTTTCATATAAAAGTGCGAAGAAAATACAAGAAGTCGCTAGTCCGGCCAATAGGAACATCTACAATGCAATCGACTTCAACCGGATCGATGTCAACAGAATGAAATATGCCCTCAACTTTCTGGAAAGGAGTCAGCTTGTGGAAAATTGAATAGTGGAGTAATATCGGGAGTGCAACGAGGAACTTCACTTCATACTTAGAAGCAAAAGCCTACACTCTGCAGCTTTGCTGAAGCTGCGAGATGGAGGAATTCTATACGATGAAGATGACCGGCTGATGTACTACCATCGGAGGTACCACCGACTTGATGCCAATATTGAGCCTGTATATAGCACAGCTCAATAAAACAGAAATTGTAAATAATTTAGTTGTAAGTTTCGATTTAAGGTAGTTTTTAATTAATTTATGTTTGGCCTGTTTTTTTTTTAATTTTTAATAGGAAAGCTCACCTCTAGTTAAAAATTGTGTAACTACAACCCTGTAAATAATTTTTTAATTTTATCGATCTTTTAAGAATATTATCGACAACAATAAACACATTTTATAACCAAGGAAAAGAGATTAAAAGACCGAAGAAAATACATGAAGTCAATCGTCCGGCTAATAGGAAAATCTACAATGTAATCGACTTAACCCGGATCGATGTCTACATGAAGAAAAATGCTCTCAACTTCCTGGAAAGGAGTCAGCTTGTGGAAAATTTAATTGTGGAGTAATATCAGTATGGAGTGAACGAGGAACTTCACTCCATACTTAGAAGAAAAACCCAACCCCCTGCAGATTTGTTGAAGCTGCGAGATGGAGGAATTCTATACGATGAAGATTACCGGCTGATGTACTACCATCGGAGGTACCACAATAAAATATAAATTGTAAGTTTCGATTTAAGATAGTTTTAACTTAATTCAAGTTTGGCCTCTTAAGTGGGTCACTATTCCTGAACTTTGTAGAGCAGCTATTAGTTCAAATGGTAGTAGTTTCGGCTACGGAAACGTGCAGAGTTTAGTCTGTGGGGGACCACTCGCGAACTGGCAAGCTTGTGGAGTAATTGTTTAATGGGGTGAGATGCACCAATATCGTGAGATGTTGGTGGTCACTTTTGCTTTGAAAGGGGATACTTCCAGCGATTGTTTCATTGTAGAGAGCCTGTTCTAATGGTAGTCGCTTTAGTTATGAAGCTGGGCAGAGGCTATAGTCAGAGAGTGATCAGTCGCGAACTGTTTGGAGTTCTACTGGTAATTGCTGCGGCTATGAACCTGACTGAATGTTTCGATAGCAGGGGTGTCAGGGCCCCTAGGTCTGTTGATCTAGCCTGGCAGTTGGTGTTGGACCTTCGGGGAGCATCGTGCTGAAGGTTGGTTATACCCAAATCGCAGGTAGAGCTGTGGCTCGGTGTGGAATTGCATTACAACCGGGGGCCTGACCCATAGAAAGCAGGAGTTTTATGTTCGCTTCGTTGCTCATCCAAGCTCGGTGTGGAGTTGCATTATAACAGGGTGCCTGTCCCATAGAAAGGCAGGAGTTTTATGTGGGCTCCGTTCCTCATCCAAGCAGGTGATCGCATCCAAATACATGTGATCGATTGGTGCTCGCATTTCGGTGTGGGGCGTTGATTGATGCTTTGTATTGACTGGTGTTTACAACACCGTGGGGTATGACCGCAAGGTAGGTACGTACGTATTCTAAGAATCTCTGTAGGTATTAAGTATACTGAACAACTGAAATAAATTTGAAAGAAGAAGTCGCTTATTCCGCAATCTCCATTCAATCACAATACATCATAGTACCCATCTGATAAAAGAATAAAGGGTGAAGCACATACGAGGATTTAGGCCTGGCCTGTTAAGTTGGCTTTGTATTAAATGCCAATTTATAAAGGAATATCAGAGTCAAACTTGAATTCGAACGCCGTTCTTTTACAATAAATGTAGACAACTTAACATGCCAATCCTGAAGTTCTGCTATGTATTTTCCCCTTAAATTACCTAAAGCGGCTCATTTTGTAATCTCCATTAAAAAATGATACATTGTATCCATCTGATAAGATTGCGCAGAGTAGTAATAACGTTTTTGTTTTAAAACAACCAAAACCCTCGCTTTTATTGATGAATCGCTGCAAATTGCGAAGCAAGGTCCTTTCGCAGACAGCAGCAGCAAAAAAAAAAAAAAAAAAAAAAAAAATTGGGCTTGCTTCATTGACAACCAATGTTTAGTTGCTTTATTCACGTCCGACGTGGGGCCTGCTTCATTGACAACCCAAGTAGAGCCTAAGTAGAGTCCGATTTCTTGCTTTATTGAAACCCCAAGTTGACCTGCTTTATTGGCGCCCAACGTGGAGCTAGATTCATTTAACCCCAAAGTTGAGCTGCTTTATTGACGTCCATCGTGGGGCCAGCTTCATTGAAACCCAAAGCCGAACTGCTTTATGTTCTAATAATACTTTTCCTAAGTAGAGCCCTTTTTCCTTTTGAAATATGCCTCTATTCCGGACACATCACTTTTTGGTTAGGAAGAAGGGGTAATGAAACTTAATTCGGTTCTGGGTAGATATTATTTGTATACAAGGAAAACTTCATATATAAGGATGCGCGTAGATTGCCGGACGGAACATAAAGAGACAACAAAGAACTAATACCCAATTCTACTCATAATGATCTTCTGGATAGAACTTTTTTAAGTATTTCGATTTAAAAATATATTATGTATACTGTAAAACAGAAATAATTTTCTAAATAAATGACAATATGGAAATAAATAGAAACAAGAAGATCATTCCGCAATCTCCATTCAAACAAAATACATTATATCCATGTTATAAGATTGTGCTGAGTAAGAATAAATTACCTAAAGCGGCTCATTTCGCATTCTCCATTCAAATACGATACATAGTATCCATCTGATAAGATTGCTCGGAGTAGTAATAAAGTGTTCATTTCAAAACACCCAGAAACCCTCGCTACAAATTGCGAAGCAAGTCCGATTCGCAGAATCCAACATAAACAATTTTTTATTGGCGCCCAAAGTGGGGTCTGCTTCATGTTTCATTGACGTCCCAGGTGGGACCTCCTTCATTGAAACCCAAAGTTGGCGCCCAACGTGAAGTCACCTAGGGATCAAACTTTGAGATAGTATAAACTTCTCTGTCGTCATAATTTTTAATCTCTATGACTTCCAGGTGTTTCAAACGGAATGACAAACTTAATACATCATCCTACCTAGGCTCTTATCGATCTGGCACCTCTGTGAGTGCTGTCTAACGTACCCATGTTCCGTTTACTAATTGTTATATGACTCTAATGGAATTATGCATTGAATAAGTATGTATTGTCTTTTCGCGCTGTTGTTGTTGTTACATTTCTTCATCAGCCTTTTGCATACTTATGAGAAGATGGTCAAGTTCGAAGTGAATGCCATGCAAGAGGTTAGGTGGAGAGGTGGGTATGAACACCTGTTGGAACGTGCCTATAACGATAAGCCGTTACTGGATGGATGGCTGCCTGGTTGGTATGCATGCTAATGCTGCTATCAAACAAATAAGGCTTAAAAAAAGAAACCACCATCAAACCAATCAATGGGGTTGTAATCAAACATGTTCGCAGTTATTTGGTGTGTGTGAAGTGAAAATATAGATCTCAAGGTAATGGGAAAAATGAAAACAAATAACATTTCAACAGCGAGCGCATGCTCGCCTGCCTAGCCAAGCCTCTGTGGTGTTTGTTTGATGATGGCTTGGTATGTTCCAACATTCAACACTTCTGGTTGGAAACCTCTGCAACATTACATGTTTTCTTCGTGGTGTTTGGCCCCACATAACAATGTCTTTGACTATCAATATCAGCATTTGATCGCCACAATTCGATTTAGTTTTAATTCTCGACGCGAAGCGTCTTAACGTGTCTTCGCTCGCTCGCTCATTCATTCGTCTGCTAATTGACCAATAAAAAAATTCAAGAAAAAAAGCCCAAAAGCCAAGAAATCCAGATCTTAGTGACTAATAGTAAAAAAAAACAACAACAAAAACTATCAAAGAAAAAAAGTGAAATTCAATTTCAAAGTCAACGCTTATTTTCGTGGATAAAACGCTGATCTTTGGCTTTATCCGAGTGCCGTGTGTGCGTACGTGCGTGTGTGTGTGTTTTAG